AACTAGTTATTTTGTAACGACGAAACCGTTAGTTCGTTAACGAAGAAGAAACGGTTGAAAATAACCGTTCGTTGATTCAACGCCCATCACTAGAATACATTTAGATAGAAGACTAACCTGGCATGAACATATTTTAAAGAAGCGCCAGCAGCTTGAATTAACATGTAGGCAACTTAAATGGTTAATGGGCTGGAAATCACAAGTCACAATAGAAAATAAACTCCTAATATGCAAGACAATTATTAAACCAATATGGTCCTACGGCCTACAACTATGGGGTGCGGCCAGTAAATCGAGCAAAAGGAGAAGAAATTAGTCTTTACTGCACCAGATACAAAGCTCGTCTAAGTCGTCATCCAAACGTATTAGCGTTAGATCTGCTCAAGTCTTTGCCACCAAAGTGTCTCAAAAAATCTGCAATGATTTACTACAAAATGTAACATAACATCTAAGAAGGTGCTATCGCAGGATAGCGATCCTTCTAAAGCAGTTAAATAATATATAACTGTAACAATATGTAGCTGAATGTACTTTGAAGCTATACAAAGAGCTTGCGATGAAAAATGAATAAAAAAAAATATATCGCCATATAAATCTGCCTCTAGGAGATATTCATCCACTAGATTTAGTCCAGTCATTTGGTGCAAAAAAGGGCTGTTGCCGGTATAGTACTCGGAGAATTCTGAAAATTGGTAATCTTATAGATTTCCAGGTGCTCTTTACGAATTTCAACTTTGCCATATTGGAAAAATGGCGTCAAAAAACAGCTTTTTTGAAATATCTCCTTTCCGGCTCATTCCACGATAAAAGCTTGTACGATTTAAACTAGATAAAATTCCTACAATTCTTTCGAAAACCGTTTTTTTGTAAACTAAATAGTTCGAGAGTACGGGCGCCTCAATGTCTTTGCTGCTCTCGACTTCGTATCGGATTTCCTCATATCTAACTGCATAATTTGACTGCTCTTTGAATTTGACCACATCCTCTCTAATAAATAAATATTTTAAATGTTAAATTAAGCGAATAATATCTAGAAATAATTCAAATATTTTTCTCTTTTTTTTGCTGATAATTGAACACTTCAATGGCAAAATAGAACTAGAGAAAAATTTCTATAATTTATTCAATATCTTTTATTGTATCTTTATAATGTAATTTTATTGAATAAATTATATCAAAATTGTAACATATTAACATTGTTATGATGTCCTTGTTATAATGGTATCACGGACGGCTTAACGGACGGCTTATAAAATTATTTTAATAAATAAATAAACTAGTGGTGTATGGCATCGTGCCTTAAGGCAAATTGCTGGAACTTCCCGTACCGTAACGAAATGTTCGGGGAATATTAAATGTTTTCAAATATATTATTATAAATACTGCAGCATTATACACTGAATCACATAGTGGAAATTATTTATTTAAAGTATATAAGTCAGGTATAAAACTTTAGCTAGAATTAAAATTGAAATCTGAATTATTTTTGATAAAAAAAAATAAATAATCTTTTTCTCCGAAAGCAATTGTTTCGTCAACACAAGCAGAGTTTTTTGAATCTGTGGGGATCAAGCAGGCCAGCCATGAAAAAACAATTGGACTTGTCATATTTTTATATCATTAATTTTTATAATCAATAAATTTTATATATTTTTATACAAGTGGAGTTAGTACTTTCATATACAGTACTACTCCCACATTGGTGACCCACGACGCTTGAGATGAAGAAATTGAAATCTGAATTATTTTTGATAAAAAAAATAAATAATCTTTTCTCCGAAAGACAATTGTTTCGTCAACACAAGCAGAGTTTTTTGAATCTGTGGGGATCAAGCAGGCCAGCCATGAAAAAACAATTGGACTTGTCATATTTTTATATCATTAATTTTTATAATCAATAAATTTTATATATTTTTATACAAGTGGAGTTAGTACTTTCATATACAGTACTACTCCCACATTGGTGACCCACGACGCTTGAGATGAAGACAAAGAAGGAGTATTTTTCGAGGATTTAAGAAACAATATAGATTTTGATGCAGCACCATAATCACTGGTCTTCAGTGACTACTTATAAGGTACGTCCAGTCCTCGGTTCATCGTAGTTAACGCACTTACTACTTGAACCGGTCTTTCGTGGTTACCCATTTGGTATACCCGGACCTCAGTGTTTATTGCTGACACAAAAAATAATTTGGAGCCTAGACTTTTCATTGGAATGCAATTCAACCTCTCCTTGTCTGTTAACTCAACAAATCGTCTTTTGATGCTACCTCCCATTATCGGTGACAGCGACGAGTCAAAACAAAATGATGACATAAATTATTTATTGGATTCCATAATTCTGGACTCTTATGTTAAAGAACCCAATGATCCTGATATGGATAAAGAGCCAACTTCTTTCTCTGATAAGAACCCATCAGGTACGAATGCAACGCCTGCAGAAATGGAAACTGTATCCATAAATAATGCATTCCAAACATTAAGTAATTCTGATATAACTAATACCAATTAGATCGAGGCTGAATCTTAGAAGTTCACCGACATCGAGGTTCAGGAAATTCACCACATGATTTTTATTCCGAACCTTATGCAGAGTATGGAGATGATGGAAGGTCGAATTACTTACCATAGGGTGGATCTGCCGACGAAACATTGGAATTAATGTTTATATTAATTGACTAGTACCACAATACTGCTATAATCTGCTTTCCCACCATATTTTTATAACGTGTTTCCCTGTATTTTCTTTTTAAACTGCGAGGTCAACACTGGGCAGGGAGTGTGTGGGGATCAAGCAGACTAGTCATGAAAAAACAATTGGACTTGTCATATTTTTATATCATTAATTTTTATAATCAATAAATTTTATATATTTTTATACAAGTGGAGTTAGTACTTTCATATACAGTACTACTCCCACAAATCATTGAAATCGGATGCTTATTTCTCTCAAAAATCGCCGTTTTTTGTACATTTAGCTATTTATCTTCGAACTGACTGGACCTACCTTTGCCGAAAACTAATAACCAATTCTCCCAATCATTACAAATTTAATGTTTTTTAGATAATTCAAATCGGATGCTCCGTTCTCTCAAAAACTCGATGTCTATTTTCTGCACTCTTTTGCTCTTTATCTCCGTAACGGCTGGATCTGCCTTTGTCAAAAACATATCAGCACATCTCCCTGTCAATAGGAATTGAATGTTTTTTGAACTATTCGAATCGGTTGATCCGTGCGGCCGAAAACGTGGACGAAAGAATGCGGTCATAAAAAACACACACACATACGTTTTTTGTGTGTATGTGAACAGATTTTTTGCCGTAAATCGACGTTTTCTCAAAACGGCTGGACCGATCTCAAAAATTTAAAAGCCATAAGATGCATCTCGTTGAAGACTAGCGTTTATCAATTTTGTCCGACGAACAGCCAAGCCGTTTCTTTGTAAATAGCAGAAGAGTGAAAAAAAATTTGTCCACGGTTTAGCTCCCAATTCTGAACCGATTTTGTAATTCAAAAACTGTTTGAAAAATATTGGTTGGTAATCGATCTGTTTAGTTTTTGGTAAAGATCGACCGGGCCGCTTTCTTGTAATAAAGTGTTTCAAAAAAAAAAAAATTCGGCGATTTTTATGATTTTTTTTTTGACGGTAGATATCATAGTCTTATATATCATACTACGACACCTCGTTATTATTTACACATATCGGGAAGATATCAAGTTCAATATTCACTGATGACGACATCAAATTGTATGTCGAAACGTTTGGAATTGAAGATTAATTTATAAATTCTTGTTGTTTTTTATGTATAGCCCTAAGAGAATTTTAAAGAATCAACTCTGACGATCATTGCACGAAACTTTGATGGATGACGTTGGTTTGCATCAATGAGAGACAGTTTGAAATCGGCTTAGACGTTTTTGATAAAATTCCGGCAAAGGGTAAAATTTTGTTTCACCTACACATAAGCAAATCATATTTTTGGCGAAAACATAAACATATATGTTACTTCCTCTTTCTTAGGGTTAAGTTATAGTAATCGCAAAAAAATCGATGAAATTTTTCACATATCTTTACGTTTCAAAGGTTTCATTTTGACATACCTTAGAAAAAAATTGATTTATTTGTGTGTGTGAGCATGTGTGTTCGGTTACAAATTTAAGGTACGATACCATGCACCACTAAACTTCTCGTAGGGTAAGTTATTGTAATCGTCCAAAAACCTCAGAAAAAATGGATGTGTGAGTGTGAGTGTGTGTATATATGTATGGATACAATTTTTCGGTCACGTTTTCGGGCGCACGGATCAACCTATTTAAATGGTTCAAAAACATTCGATTTCTATTGATAGGGAGATGTGTTGATTAGTTTTTGGTAAAGGCAGGTCCAGCAGTTACGGAGATAAAGAGCAAAGAGTTTTTGAGAGAACGGAGCATCCGATTTGAATGATCTAAAAAACATTCAATTAGTAATGATTGGGAGAAGTGGTTATTAGTTTTTGGCAAAGGCAGGCCCAGCCATTTCAAAGATACGGAGCTAAATGTGCAAAAAATGGCAGTTTTTGAGAGAACTAAGCGTCTGATTTAAATGATTTAAAGAACTTTCTGCTTGTCTTAACAAAATAATTGATTTAAAAATTTTCTTTTGTTTCAACATTTCTTTCTCAATTTTTTTTTCAAAAAAATTTTTTTTGTATAACGAAAATAATTCAGATTATATTTTTAATTCTGACTATAGTTTTAATATACTTTAAACAAATAATTTCAACTTTGCAATTCAGTATATATAATTCTTATAAATATTAGACAATGTTACAATATTTATAATTATCTATGATTAAATGATTTATTATTGCATGATCTATTCGAAATCATTCAGTATTTTTCGAACATTTCGTTACGGTACGGGAAGTTCCAGCAATTTGTCTTAAGACACGATGCCAAACACTCCACTAGTTCATATACATTTTTGTTATTAGCAGTTCATTTTCTATTACAGTGAATTCGATCAATATAAAAAAGTTCTTTGGCAAAATGTTCGGGTCGGAGATATGGTTCATCTTTCGAATAATGAAGTAGTCCCAGCAGATGTATTACTACTGAAATCATCAGATCCACATGGAATTTGTTATTTGGATACGTGTAGTTTGGATGGCGAAACGAACCTGAAACAAAGACAAGTACCGCTTTGTTATCTTGAAAATGTGAGTTGCGTATTACATATTTCTTATTTATTAATTGATAAATTGCACATTTATATTTATTATGTATTTTTCATGTTTTTATACAACTATGGGGGTCACTAAGTAGAATTAATTCACAGTTGAATTTAAGTATTTTTAAAATTTCCTTATTGTATCAAATTAATTGGTATTTGGTATCAATGCGATTGTTATCAAGTGAAAAAGCTAAGCGCGGAGAAAGTAATTTGCTTGTGTTTATTCGCTTGCATTAAAAACATAGGCATTCATGATTATTCATATTTTGAAACATAAACAACTATTTGCTAATGCAATATATATGACTTTGAAGATTGAAGATTTTAAAAACTCACTTACCTCTTTCAGATAAACGATTTTAATTTTCTAACAAGGAAACCTTCAGGTTTACTTTTGAAAAAACTTCGCATGGTGATAGAGTTGATAGTCAAACCGAACCCCAAAAAATATTATAGGTCTATGATAAGGGGTTTAATTATAAAAATTAATTCAAATTGCGATAATTGCGCAACTCGCTATATCTCCGCGTGTAGAATTTTCTGTTAAGGGGGGCGATACATGTAACAAGAAAAAAAAAATCGTTTGTTTTTTTTTGCATAAATCGTTACAATAACATCTCAAAAATATGCCTGTAAATATTCAAAACAAAATTATCAATATTTATACAATAAAAACTCATTTAAGTGCCACGCCTCAACTCGACGCTTGAGTGCTATTGTACTCTTATCTGTTTCTGTGTCAAAACTTTAAACGCGTTTTTCTCAAAACGACATTTTTGAAATTTGCGGGCGGGATAACTCAAAAAGTTCTCAACCGATTCCAATGAAATTTTGCACACATATACTTTACAGTAATAGCTTCTAGTTAAACCTCAAACATTCCAAAAAAATTTTCAAAAATTAACCCTTTTACCAAAAAAAACCATTGAAAAAAAGGTGAAAAATCGAACTTTTTTTTCTAAGGTGTGCCAATTTACGATTTTGTGACTTTTTTAATTTTTTTTTAGTTTAACTAGAAGATATATGTTTTATGAACACGTACAAACTAATTTTTTTAAATTCAGATCACCGTACGAAAAGTGAGAACGCCCGCAAATTGATGGCGTTTTCCGAGAGGGTCTTGGCAGATTTATTTTTACGGCAGCCATTTAAAAAAAAAATTAAAAAAAAATTTTTTTTGTGTATTTTAATATAAAATAAATAACCCTAAAAAAGTTCAAAAAGATTCAATCATTCCTTCCCAGTTTAAAAAGTCCTCAAAAAATGGTAAAAATTAAGGCGATTACATGTATCGCCCCCCTTAATGTGTTGGGGTGACCGTGCGGTTAGAGTTGACAGTCGTGTGCTTTTTGTAGAAGTCGAAGGCTGATATGCGCGAGTTCGAACCCTGGTAGAAATAAATTTTTTTTTATCTTCCCGTAAGTTATTGTAATCATCTAAAAATCGAAATTCAAAATTTTTACATTTCTTCACGACTTGAAGGTTTCTGAACATTTTGGCATACCCCAGAAAAAATGGATGGATACAATTTTCCAGTCACGTTTTCGGGCGCACGGACCAACCGATTTGAATGGTTCAAAAAACATTCGATTCCTATTGATAGGGAGATGTGCTGATTAGTTTTTGGCAAAGGCAGGTCCAGCAGTTACGGAGATAAAGAGCAAAGAGTGCAGAAAATAGAAATCGAGTTTTTGAGAGAATGGAGCAACCGATTTGAATGATCTAAAAACCATTCAATTTGTAATGCTTAGGAGAAGAGATGATTATTTTTTGGCAAAGGCGGCATTTCTAAGATACAGAGCTAAATGTGCAAAAATGGCAGTTTTTTGAGAGAACTAAGCGTTCGATTTAAATGATTCAAAGAACATTCTACTTGTTTTAACAAAATAATTGATTTTGGAAAATTTTTTTTTTTTTGTATATTGAAAATAATTCAGATTTCAATTTTAATTCTGACTAAAGTTCTAATATACTTTAAACAAATAATTTCAACTTTGCTATTCAGTTTATATAATTCTTATAAATATTAGACAGTGTTACAGTATTTATTTATAATAGTCTATTTGAAAACATTTAATATTCCTCGAACATTTCGTTACGGTACGGGAAGTTCTAGCAATTTGCCTTAAGGCACGATGCCATACACCCCACTAGTTTTATTTCATTTTTACTTATATATGGTTAATTATTATAATAAATAATAATAATTAATAATTTGTTATATATACTATATAAATGTATGATATTTGTCGTTTAATACGTAAATATATGATATTGTAAGTGGTTGATATATATGTATATATGATTTAGTAGTTAATTTTGATGTTGAAATATATGAGTGAGTTCTTGAGGGCGATACATCAAACAAAGAAATTCTTTGTTTGATGTATCGCCCTCAAGAACTCACTCATATGTATATATATATATATATATATATATATATATATATATATATATATATATATATATATATATATATATATATATATATATATATATATTGTATGATTCTGAATTTGATGTTGACATATGTATTAACAAAGTATTAACAATTGAATTGGAGTGAAAAGAAAAAATTCACTCCAATTCAATTGTTTTAATTTTTAATTTCATTTTTAGTTTCCACTGAATGAAGGCTAGGATTATAGCCGAAACGTATGAATTTAAAATAAATTTTTGAAAGAAATTCATGTTTTTTATTGATGTTATGCCCGATTATTAGACTTTGTTAATACATATGTCAACATCAAATTCAGAATCATACAATATATATATATATATATATATATATATATATATCTGAATGAGTTCTTGAGGGCGATACATCAAACAAAGAAGAGGCAAAGATTTATAAAATAATATTTAATTCCAAACGTTTCGACATTCAATTTAATGTCATAATCAGTGGATCTAAAAACAGTATAAAAATTAAATAACTATTAATTATGAAATAAGTGGATTGGTATAGAAACTATAAATATAAGAGAAAATTTAACAGAACAGCAACACTTAACAACAAACAGAATATAAAATATAGAAAAGGTAATAGAAACTAGATATTAAATAGATAAAAAAGAAAAAAGAATATATATATATATATATATATATATATATATATATATATCTTATATATAAAATTCTTCTGTAACAATGTAAGTTTCATTAATCCTCCTAAACTATAATTCGGATTTTCATGAATCTTCCTGAAGTTTGATCGGGAAATTTTCTAGAATGTTTTGATTCACAGAAATATAGTTAGATTGTAGAAATAAATGGAAAAAAATACAAAAAACCGCTTATCATTGTTTGACCTTTAAAATATTTAAGGCATGGTTTGACATTAAAAACAAATGACAACTGTCATTTGCCAAACATTTCTATTCACTTATAGGCTAAGGCAATATTAAAATATAATAAATTCATGATTATAAATAAGGAAAATGTAATGTCTACATTATTATTGCCGAAAAGCAGCTGAGATATGCCAAAAATTAAATTAATATAATATGCAAATAATATAACATGCGTTTGACAAGTGATGATGCAGTCTGCGCATGTCTGACGTGCGCGTGGTTTGCTTTTGCTTGCAATAATTTTGTCTGCGCACTTTGCGAACAGATTCGCCGTACGAATTCGTGCAAAGGAGAGAGCCATAAGTGATTGCGCTCAAAAATATTCAATTTGCAGTCGTTTTGCCTTACTATACTAAGTTACAATACAAAAAAAATTATTTAGAAGTTTCATTGTGTCAAAAATTCATATGGTTGGCATTTTGTACGGAATATTTACTCAATGGAGCGCTTTCGGTCTGAACTTTTTTTTACTGTTTTCCATTTCGTTTGGAATTTTGGAACTAGGTTTATCTTACTCTTCATAAGTGAAAACAATTTAGACTCCTTTACCACTTCTCGGCTGGATGACATTTTTTTTTCAGTGGTCTAATTTTACTTTTTTCAAAATAACGTTGGGTATCGATAAAAGAACTAATTATAAGAGAAAAATGTTTAATAATGTTTTTCAAAAAAGAAAATACTTTTCAAGTTACTGGCTACTGAAAATTTGTTTCTTTTTTCCGTTTTTCATCGTTTTTTGCTAATATCTTCAAAAATATACATTTTAACGAAAATCATGTAATGAACAAAATTATATCAATAAAAATCCTAATAAATCGCTATTTTACAGTGTTCTAGGAACAATATTAGGGTAATTATGAAAATGGGTTTTTATAGTTCTCATAATAAGCTTCAAAAGAAGTACTTCTGCATGTAAATTGAGTGAGCTATCATGCAATTAAAAGACGCATACAATGTTTTTTTTTTATTTAAATCAAATAGTTTATGAGTGCCATTACCACCAAAATTAAAAATAATCGTTTTCCATCTAGAATTAACTTGGTTTGAGAGATCTTGATGGATTCTAGAAAATACCATAACATTAGTACAATCGATTTTCAAAAAACTCATGATTTCATAAAAAAATCCATTTAATAAAACAACCAATTTCTCATTATAATATCTCTGAAAGAATACGTATAAAAGTATATATATGAAAATTCAAGGTATTTTTCAGACTAATTATTGGTTTTTATTATTTTTTTGTTACACAAATATTGATAGAGTTCTAATTGTTTAAAGAGTGCGCGGCTGTCCAACCGGAGTGTCTTTCGAGCCCTTTAATCCTTCGCCGTTTCAAAATAAGAGAAGTTACGGTAAAATTTATGATAAAGAAAGTTGTAGTTCATTTAATCACCTTTAAAATAATATATTACAAGTTATGATAAAATCAGAATTAAAAGAGTTATAATCCAATTAATGCGGGGGGTGGTGACGAATTTGCAAATTGTTTTCACTTCTGAACTTTAGATTAAGATTAGCTGGGCATACGCTCTTTTCCTCTTCATTTAACGCAATAATTTTGTTGATAGTAGGTTGAATAGAGCACATGTGAACAAAATTTGACAAATTAATTCACTTCAAATATGAACGT